GCTGAAACTAGGCCAGCACAGGCCTTGATACACATACATTTTTACCAACTTAAAGTTACTTTTAACGTAAAATAGGTCTCTCCTTTTCTCTCTCTCATCTCTCTCTCTCTCTTCTCTGCGCTCTCATCTCTCTCTCTCTCTCAGACCCCCTCTCAGCAGGCTGCCATGCTGGACAATGACCAAGAGGGGGTGTCAGGAAGCAACCAGTGGGCTCCCTACTCCCTGGGCAGGAGGGACGTCCCACCTGACAACCTCATGAAAAAGGTCAGACCTCTAATCGACAAACCTAAAAAACATCCCATTAGGCTAAACTTTAGGCTTTATAGAGGCTCTTTTTGCAGCTGGTATATGAAAGTAGTCTATACATGTTTAGATGGATGGATCTTGGAAAGAATAAATGAGCCTGAAACGCAAATAAATAAGCATCTCCTGTGTCCATTCCTCTGGTGTGGATGTGAGTCTCTAACTTCCCCTTCTCTGTCCACAGAGTGCCCACTCCCACAATCCTTCCCACCAGTCACACAACACACACATGATCGTCACTTCCTCCACCTCCTCCTCGTCTACCACGCCTCACCGTGTAGTCGGGCAGCAGGGCTACGACGGGATGATGAACAAAGGGGGCCAATACCAACCAGGGATGCCCTTGTCAGTGGTTCCCTCTGGGGGGCCGGGGCAGTACCAAGGCAACATGTCTCAAGGTAAATGGTAATAAATTGAAAAATGGTGAAGCCCATCAATATATATTATAACACAAGGAGTATGACACTACTTTGAGTTACACTGTTGAAAATTTGAATAATTGTGGTTACAAGCAGTTATCCAATCATGCTGTCACATCCAATCACAGCATGAAATCTGGAACAAATGTAGCGTAATAGGTTATTAAATTGTCATCGACACAATGTGAAGTTGTGTTTCTGTTGTCAGACAAACTCTGACAATTAAAGAGTTATTTAATCGTGGTTCACAAAACACTAACACCCCAGGAATTACATTAGCATTTGTTAGCCAGTTAGCATATTGTGGTGTTTTATTCTCAAGAAGTTTGGTATTGATAAATGTCTTTGTTTTATTTGTAAATTCAGGTCAAGTTATTGAAGCATAAAAACATTTCATTAAATTTAGTAAGTTATTCGGTTGGTGTAAAGTATGTGAGCCATGTGTACAACGAGTGTTAGCTGCTACCAGCTTCTTTCTTTTTTCATCCAGGCCATCCCAATGCTGGACAGGGTTATTCCAGCTCAGGCCTGCCCATGGCCCTGTCCCCATCTGGGAACCAACCCCAGTACAACCCCCATTCCTCCCACTCTTCCCATCAGCCCTCCCTCCCCGCCACCAACCCCCAGTACCACAGCAACCAGGGCATGGTCCATAGCAACCAGGTTGTTATGACCCACACCAATCCACGGCCTCAGAGCGCTCGCTGCCTGTTGCAGACGAAAGGCCAGAAGAGCACGGATGGTTTCCAGGAACAGGTATCTGTCTGTCCGCCCATCTGTCTGTCTGTCTCCAGCAACCACATCCCACACTATCTTGGAGGTCTGTCTGAAAATGGGCTGTGCTCAAATAATGGCTAAATATATACTAACTAGGTTAGAAAGGATATTAGTTTTGTGGATGTAGGTCCATTCAGTTACACTAAAAGTAGAGGGGAATGGTTTAATAAGCTGAAATTGTTCCTAAACTGTGACAGAGTAAACTGACTTTATCTTTCTTTAGCTGTGGTTCTTCTTCAAAATAAGTGTTGCATGTAAAAGAGTAATACAGAACAATACACACATAAACAGTTTGAGACGAATGCACACAAGAAATGGTAAAAGTAAAATAATAGAGATTTAGATGACTTTGTCAGAATATGAACCCGCAAGCTAAGTATGCAAAGACAGTAGTGGTTATTGGTAACTAACTATCCAGATCAGATGTGTTAATAACATTACATGTCGACAAGTGGATTTTAAAGGTTCCACACAAGGCCAACAAGCTATTACAATAACTGGGACATATACGTGTAATTTTAACCAGCTAACAGCAACGGTTTATGAAGAAACAGGTCTAGAAAAAGCCACGGAGGCGTAGTTCTAAATCTGAGATATTTCACAGATGGAGATCACTGGTACCAGTTTAGGTAGGAACATGAAGTCATTCACACCACCCAGATCAGCTGATCTTCCTGCAGGGTTTTGTTTTTCCCTTCCTAGTATCAGATGGCGTTCATTATGCCAAATAGAAAAACTCTGACAAGGATATTTGTGGCTCAATTGTTGTTGCCAGAGAACTGAGGACCTCCAATATAGCTGCCAAAATGTGTCACACATCACATGAAAGCCCCTTTCCACTGTTGTACATGTTGTCTATGTACTCTGTGCTTGTGTAGAGATTGTTATGATCTATGTATTTCACTTTCACTTGTCTTTCTTTCTTTTCTTTTTTCTGTCTTTCTTTTTCTCGTTCGTCCTCTCCCTCTAGTTGTGTGTGAGAATAGAGAAGAACCCTGGTCTTGGTTTCAGTATCTCTGGTGGCATCAGTGGCCAGGGGAACCCCTTCAAACCCTCCGACATGGTACGACCCGACCCGGCCTGCCAGCCAATCACAGCCTCCCCGGCTTTACCTCAGAGTTGCCATGGAAACTGCTGCTCGTTACCGCAGTGTTTCGTCTATCTGTCCGCATGTCTGTCTCTCTATGGGGCAGCAGTTGACTTAGCTAACTTTGAGTCTGTGATCTTATACTACAGACTGTTGGAAGACAGAAGTTCAATTGAAGCATGTTTTATAGTTATGTATTTGAAAGGGGTAAAGAAGCTCTTGAAATATTGAAAACTTGTTAACATCACCAAACTCGATGGAAGACTTCAGAGAAATGATATCCGAGTTTCGGATTCTTTCGGGACTGATAAAACATGTCATTAATAGTGTGTTTGATGCATTCAGAGTGTCCTCATCAAGGTCTCTTGGAAAATGAAGTTACGGCAACAAACTTGAATATTTCAGTATTTAGAAATAGATTGTGCCCACATGCATACACAATGTCTTATTACAAGACATGCCAAACTGTTTTATAATTTCTACTTCTGGGTTTCGACTGATTCTGTCAGTGTGTGCCTGTACTGAAAGCCTGTTGGGGCTGCAGATCCCCAAGGCCTCCTGCACATGGCAGTCTGTCCTAGAAACATGCTGCTATAGTGAGTCGAAAAGGAGCGAGGCTGCTCACGGAGCTCTGACAGCTATTTTAGGAAGGCTGCTTTAGTTCTGGGACACCGTGGGTGATTTTAGATGTTCAACGCTTTGATCTAGGGATGGGAAGTATGGCAGATTTTTCTGACTGTTATTCAGATGTTGAGTAACTGACGAGACAGCTGGTCTATAAATAGAGAGCCTGCGAGAAGAGTTCTTTAAACAGTCAGCCTCTGTACAGTCCATGTGACAAATGGTGAATTAATTTAAGTCGGGGGTGTGAAGGAATAATATAGAAACTGTCAATTCATCATTTAACTTAAGTTTCATACAGACAAGTACTGACTCAGTTGCTGACATGTACAGTTATTTAATCATTCCCACGTCTACTTGTATCCATAAAGCTCCCACCAGCTGCAGTTTGTCCATTATTAATGCCATCTTACACGGCCAGCAAATGGAGTCAGTGCAGATGAGCGGTTTCCCAAGTGATTCGCCTAAGCATTTTGTCAAGTAATTACATTATACAAACAGTATATTTATACAGTGTATGAGATATGATATAGAGATTGACATACTCTATCCGGCCACATGAATATAGATGACTGGATATTGTAGAATCACATTAGAATAAAATGTCTACCTTTACCATCATATTGCAGCTGGCCAGCATCAGTGCAATGTAAACAGCGACTGTCAGTCACCTGCTGATCTTCTGAGTATCTGCAGCTGAGTCGTAGGAGTACATATGGTTCAAATGTAAATGTCCTAAACATGGTGTGATATGAACTCTATGTCTGCACTCCTCACCTCAGACCCCACATATGTGGCCCCCCACCGGGTGGATACCACGGTGCAACAACAGCTGTTATCTGTCACCACCAAATGTACTTTTAATAACCTTTTTTTCTTACTCTGGTCCCCTTGTTACTTCCATCCACACATGTCGAAGCGGTCGAAGTTGCTTTCATGTTCTTTTCAATGGCTGTCAACTCAGGGCTGATTCGTCAGCAGTTTTAGCTCAAACAAAAGCAGATGCCTTTGATTTTGGTTTGATCTTCCTCTCTGACCTACTTTTGCGAACACATTTTGGTTTGTTCAACCATTTCTACACATTTGTGACTATTTTACTCAGGGTAGACATTTGCCAGGTTTAAAACTACATCAGTTGCTTTAAATTATTTTGAATGTAAATTAAAGGCAGACAGAAATTGAGCCAGAGTTTAAATAGTTAAACAGGATTGTGTATCAAAACAGCTTGAGTAATAAATTATAGATCTGTGGTTTTGATACCTAGAGCCTACTACAGCCACCGTTATTGCACAGGACGGTGTCTCCCCCTTGTGGCCAGCTTGTTGTTTGCACCTATCCTCTGATCTATCTGGGCTAGAAGAACATATTTACAGCCCAGATAGGTCAGTGATCTTTTTATTTACACTCAAACTCACTGTTTTTGTGCTATATAAAGATTATTATTATATATCCTGGACCAGTATTATTTCAAATTGGCTTTAATGTTAGTTGGAATTGGCAAACCTGTTATGTACATTTCTAAAATGGAAACAAATAGAAAAGTTGCCTCCTCTTTATGATTTTTCGGACCTTTATCATTTATAATGTCTGAACACAACATGAATATTTCACTACAAAAAGTAAATATTTATGTGTTGTTCAATTGACCCAAATTATAATTCTAAATTTAACAGAATCTTTTAGTAAATAAACGTTGTAACCTTGGTTCTCCCTTCATATGAACGAGTGGAGAGACGAGAGAGAACTAACATTATCCTCTTTCTTAACAAATAAGTTTGGCCTGATCATCCTCCTTTAAACACACTTCTACTTTGCATGAGTGTCTTGTATGGATACAGAATAATCTTCCAAGAGCTAATTCAGATAAATTGGAGGTTTACAAAACATACTTCTCAGAACATTGCTTTGTATCCGACAAGTTGTTTCAAAGTTTATCCCACAATGATTCATGTTTTAAAATCCTTTGTGACTTCCTGCCAGAAGTCATTATCAGGTGTCTAAAAAAAGAAATATCAATGATCTTCAAGTTTGACTTAAAAGACTAGCTGGCACTCTAAGCCACTGGGTCAGTTTTACTTCTGGCTAATTAGGATTCAGCGAGTGAAGACGGTGACTCAGTTCCTGTATTGACAGGAGTGGGATCCCCGGCTTTGATGTATTGGCTTCTTGGCTCTGTTTAAGAACAGAAGACAGAGTTTTAAGGAGCAGGATATGGATTTTTAGTCAGATCTGGGTCATGAACATTTGAAAATCCAATTTTCTGTTCCTGGTGTTTCTAAATTCTGCTGTCTCTGCACACTGAGCTGCTGTCGATAACAAACATACTGTATGCTATCCCTGAGCTGCAAAAACCTCATCATTGACCACTAATGCTCCCACTTGTGTAGGAAGCAGTTTTATAAGCTTGTGGTCAAACTAAAAGAAATCCCTTCAAAAATCAGAAATTTTGAAGATTAAAGGTTTTTGCAGGGCACTGTAGCTCTGTGTGCAACTGCTTTACAATGTGTAAATGTTTAATTGTTGTCACTAACTATTTTCAGCTGCTAACAAACACATTTGTAATGTACAGTGAGCTCCATATGGGACCTGACAGTGACATGTCACTATGTTTTGGACATGGAAGGGTGTGAATAGACATAAAGTACCAAAATCAAATTAACCAAATATCAAATAATGAATTCGACATTAACACGTGGTTATAAATTGCATATATGCACCACTTTGCATACAAAATTAAACCATTTCATAGCCACATCATCAAAATTATTAGTACACGTATGAGGCTCACTGTATAAATGCTGTGAATATTAATTTAATTAATACTTCTTCACCTCTTTAACATGAAATATACTATATGTGTTTGTTCTTGCATCCACTCATAGACTGTAGTATGTATGTGCTATTGCACTGTCAGTACTACATCATATTGTTTTAACTGGTGTCCCTGGCACATTTATCTGTTCAGCTCACTTTTGTGTGTTCAACGTGTGCACAACTTGTTGAACCTTGTCGAGTTGACATAGGTGCCTTGTCCTACACTTTCTGTGTTCAAAACATCTTTCAGCTCTCAGTGAAAAGATGTTGGTGTTTTTACAATCTCTGCCTTGGGTTATTGAGGGAAAATATCGGGGATGAAATATCTTCTGCCCTCCCTGCTACCTACTTCTTTCCCCTAATCAGTACCCATCCCACACCTATTCTTCTACCCCTATTCTTTGTATATTTACTGTATATCCATTTTTTCTCTCTTTCTAACATCATGTCTATTCTATGCCAAGTCCTTATCTGTATAAACAGATGATAAACCATTCTGACATGTATAGTAAATGTCTTTTTGGGAGGAATGTATCACTCAGCTTCTGGCGATGCCAATAACCAAAGTACTTTAAATTGCTAAAATTCAATCATCGTGAATTGCATGCCTCTCTAAATTCAGTTCAAAGAGAATGCATTGGTGAACTTCCCATATATTTTTGGCAGAAATGTGATTTTTTTTGGGGGGGAGGGGGGTTGGGGGGGTGGATATTGAGATGAGAATGAGAAAGGCAAAGATTCTAAACCATCGTGTCCCTGTGTTGTCCTAACGGTGTATCATTTTGACTTATAGGGTATCTTTGTTACTAGGGTACAGCATGACGGGCCCGCCGCCTCCGCCCTGCAGCCCGGAGACAAGATACTGCAGGTAACATCCTCTCACTCATCATCAAATGGGCCAGAAACAGCCACATCCTGCCCTCTCTCCCTCCCTAACCCTCCTTAACCCTTCCCTTACTTTATAAGGCAGAGCATTTGATAGGAAAAAATAGGTACACTTTTCTTACTACAGTTAGCTGGACATTTTCTTACACAGGCTATTCAACAGAGGCATACCAGCACTGATTATCTGCAGTGATGGAGCCAGTGATCGCCCGCTGGTGTGATCTTACTGGATTTTTCAATGTAGTCTATTAAGAGTGTATCAGATATCAGCAAATATGTTCTGCCTCTGGTTGTGTAGCGGTCCAGAAATCAGGCATAACCCTCCCACCCTCTCTCTCATTCATCATTAGCCAACGACACCCAAAAACATTTGAGCCAAAGATCACAGGGGGATTTGAGTAGCATGAAACAATCTAAGAAGTTTATTATCAGACACACAATATTAAGTTAAGAAACATGAATGCGAAGGCCGTTAAGACAACATGGATGATCCAACTTTAAGCTACGTAATCATGGGGTGTTGCTTGTTACTACTGTGAGACTGCAGCAGATGTCAACAAAAATTCAACTTGTTTGAGCATAATTTGCTCTTATCATGGCTACCACTAAGTCCTGAAGCAGAGAAGTGATTTATGGCACAACTTTATGATGAAATCAAAAAGGTTTTTTTAAATAAAATGAGCACAAAAAAAAGTTAAATGGATTTTTATGACCTTGATGACGGACACAACATATGGGCTTAAACACTGGAAACGTTTCTACATTGAGTCCTGGAAGTAACTGAATACAGCAGTTGCAGTAAGGCTGAATTACAGTATGTTTTTTTTCTGATGATTCAGATAAATGTTTCTACTAATTATAAGCTGTAAAAAAGCAATGCTGAAATTTAATGCTGAAAATATGTATTGTTACACCTTGGGGGGATACTCTCCCAGGGGCAACAAAAGCTATTGAAAAAACGTCCACCTCCCACATAGATCAGTGAAACGGAATCAATAAACAGCAATAAATTATACATATTTACTTTATTTATATATTTACTGTAGCTATTATTTCAAAGTAGAGCTGGAATTAACCGAGAGGATTGTCCTGTAGGTCAACATGAGATGTTAGTGTTCCCCCTTCCCCATCTCTCATTACTTCCATGTTTCCCTCCCCCTCTCTCCTCCCCTTCATATTCTCTCCACAGATGTACAGTTTAGCTGGATGAACTCATCTAAAAGCCCTTTTTTGTCTTTACCCCTTCTCTCTCTACAGCATGACTGTGTAGCTCCTCCTCTTCTCTCTCTTTTCCCCAACAGTGATGTGTTACTGAGATAATGATGGCAGTGACCCTCCATCCTTCCACACACACCCACCCACACACACACACATGCACACACACATAGACGTATGTATGGAAATACTGCAGCACACATACCTCTATACATACATGCACACACACATGCTGTTGACTGTGCTGCGTGTTTGCCTTGCAGGCTAACGGACATAGTTTTTTACACATGGAGCACGAGACAGCCGTCTCTCTGCTGAAGAGTTTCCAGCGGACGGTGGACTTGATGGTTCTGAGAGACAGCAGCACGCGCTAAAAATAGTTTTATAACAAACAAACAAACAAACACAACAACGCTTCTCTACTCTGCTCATCGCCATCCCACGCCACCCCACCTGCCCTCCGCTGGAGGCTTGTGGAACTGAGAAATGAGCCGCCTTTTTTACCTTTTTAGGGGAACACACAGACATTTATTTGCCTATTGCTGGACCAAAGGCAAATACTAGTGCCAAATGTACCATAGGAAACATATCGGCTCTTCTGTCCACCGGCGGTCAGGGACCTGATCGACGATTGGACGGACCACAAGAGGACTCTACGCTTTGAGTTCCTACAGGGCTGCTGCAGTTTGGATTTTGTGGTTGGTTTGTTAATTAGGCAGTCATCTTATTGGCCAGTCTAAATAGTTTGTTTCTGTTAGTTAGGGTTCTGGGATATTTTTGCTTTTCTCCACTGCCTTTTTATTTTGCTGTCCATGATAGATCTTTAATATTTTGTTTGGTGTAGCACATATTTTACATTCAGCGTTCTTCATTGTTCTTCTTTGCTTTGTCCAGTTCTCTTCTGATTAATTTTTTGTTGTCTTCTAATCTGTTCTCTTATTTTATTTTCTGTTCTTCTCTTTCTTTCAGTGTCTTTTGTTTTATTACTTTTTGCTGTCTTATGTTGTGTTCTGCAGGTATTATTGCCTCCAGTGTATAGAAATTGTAAACGTAAGACTTTCTGCCTTGTGTACATATATAGAGCTGCAGCTTTCTAGAGCTGCACTCTCCTTGGGGCCTGGACAGACAGCTCTAAAAGTTTATGATTGATATAAATATTGTTGATAAACCACATTCTGAATTCTCTCTTATGAACATACAGGGATTATTTCTCCAAATGGACAATTTTCTAAAGTATACCACTGATTTTTTTTTTCTTTCTGTAAAGAAAACACTGTTCATAGTTCATCACTGCTACTTGTTTTTTTTGTTTTAAAAACAGTTGCTTGCACAGCTGTGCTGAAAAGAGCTAAAGCAATATTTCTGAGGCTCGGCCCACTGAGATTTTCAGCAGAGCCTAACTTGTCCTGCAGTGCCATCTATCGAGCAAGTCATGCTAATGTTTACACACACTGCCATGCACATGAACTACCAGGCAAACACACATATACAGTAGATGTATGTGCCCCCATACACAACGCATATGCAATGGTGCTCTGTGCACTATTGCCTAATAAAGCCCTGTCTATATTCTAGCCTGATTTTAAATTTCAACTGCTATTGTAAAACCAATCACACACACAGACATTGTAACATTACTCATAATATCTGTGCCATATCACATTTTGTGGTCCTGTTTTCTAGTATTGTTACTGCAGTGTTACATCCCTTTTTAGCTGTTTGAGTTGTATGATAAAGTCACAGCATGCTCTCATACCATTGGTCACTGTCAGCCAGCCATTTTCTGTTGGCTTCTAGAGTTCACTACTCTGTAGAAGACTCTAGATGTATTATACCACTGAGTTTCAGTGAGACTGATGTTCTATAGTTGGTGCCATATGGACCCTTTTTCCCTCCCTGGTTGTATTTAAACAGGCCTAAAACTTTAGAGCTTTTACCCCTTTGTGGCCCAGATCTGATCTGCATACAGTGAAAGCAGCAGCGTGTAGGGAAACTGGTTTTAACATTTGGTGAGGGTCCTGACCTCTGGCCTCCATGTAGAAAGCAACAAGAGAAAAGAGAATGTCCCTACAAGAATCAATAAGGTATAACACACAGTTTAAAGTGTCTTAATGGGTAAATCTGTAGTGAATCACATTTTCCCTTTTTAGACAATCAGGAAATTATCTGAGGCTGTGTGGCTACACTTGAAATTTCAGTGGAACTTTTGTAACCTGAGGAGATGCTAATTGACTCTAGGTGTACATGGAAATTTAGATTTGCCAACTCTGTTGGTGAACGTTGAAAATTATATGTAGATAGGGTCAGGAAGTGTTTGGAATATGACATTTAAAGGAGCAGGGAAACAAAGTAATGTCGAATGACTCAGATGTAGAAACTGTGGTCATACAGTCAAATCTGACCGTCATGGTCATGCTTCAGAAATTGTATTGACATGACAGAAGTAACCACAGAAAAAGAGTGAAGAGTTTCATTTTCTGTCTTCGTGTAAATGCAACACGTGTCTTGAAGACATCTCATGACAGGGAGTTTTGTTCTGTTCTGTATAACATCTGATGTTTCATCCAGAGCAAAACAACATCCTTCACTGTCCTTTGCTTTTACTTGACATGACAGTGTCATCCTGTGCCCATTTTGTGTCAACCCTCTTAATAAGCATTAGAATTTAGTTAATTCAATATGAAGGACACAAAATGGCACAGTTTAGTCTTGTGGTTGAGAGATCTTAACCACAGGCACCCACCCAACCCTATTTAGAGTTTGAAATATCAAAGATATTGTGATGAGAACAGAGAAAAAGGTTTGATAATATAATTATTTTTTACTACATGTTTCAGGTAATTCTTTCTAAATATATTGATATACCTTAGCTTTGCTCAAAAATTGTGATATTTTATAATAATGACACTTATAACAAAGTTATGGATGGAAGTACGCACAGTATGACTTGGAGACCTACACATGTACTATCCAAAACTGTATAAAATGTATTTCTACTGTAATTGTGAATTTGTGTTATACAAATATATATTATATATATATGTATATGACTACAAAAAAAAGTCATTTTCTATGTGTTTAAACTACATAAGAGCTGAACAAATGCTGAGGACGGTGTCACTGTACATAGCTGTGAATGAAATCCAATTTAAAATGACTCATATTGATTGTGAATGTACTCATGCTTTCTGCAGTACCTACACCTACCCAACTTGAATGCTGCTTCTTCTGTTGTGTGACAAAAAGTACTTTGACCTCCGAAGAGAGAACTGCTGTCGAGTTATAAGTTGGACAAATTTTAGTGACGATTTAACAGAACTATTTATTTCTTTATTTATTTGCACATGCAAGTTGAAATCCTTCCAGTTTTAAGTTTGAGTATTAATGCGGAGAAATGTAATTGCAGAAGTATATATAATATATATCATGTGTTTAGAATGCATTTTGCAGACGCTATCTGTACATACTATTTAAGATACAGTTTTTACAAAAAATAATATATGTATAAAATTGAAAAAATGCTGTGCAGCGATTATACTAGAGCCATTTTGGGCTTTGGGACGTACCATTTTTTCAGTATATAAGAAGTGTTTTGAATAATGTACTAAAGTCTCTATTGTACAAATAATAAAAATGTCACTATTGGTAATCTGGGTTCCTCCTGGTGCACTGAGCTCTGTCTTTAGGAGGGCAGAAGAGAGGGATATCTCTCCTTCTACTCCTCTTTCCTACTTTATTACTGTAGAAAGAGAAAGATGAAGGGAGAAAAAGGGGATAAATAGATAGATAGATACTTGATTTATCCCGAGGGAAATTCAAGAACAGACAAAAGAAAAGGGGGATGGCAAAAATTAGTTGATGAAAATAGGAAGAAAGTTAAGAAGATATAAAGGGCTAAGGAGCATGTAAGGAGATATGGGGATGAATAATGAAAACAGGCAAGGCAGGAGCCAAAACAAGATGGGAAATAAAGAAACGGAGGAAGCAAAGGATTAAAGGGAGGAAGAAAAAGGCAGAAGGAGGAGAAAGGGGTAAAGGAAAGGAACAAGAATAAAAATGAGATGGAGGGAAAGAACAAACAGGGAAAAAGTAGGATGGCTAGAAAGTAAGTAAGCGAGAGATAAAGAAAGGAAAGAGGAGAGAGTGATGAAGACCACCTCAGCAGGTCTGTGGGAGATTTCAGTTTCCTCTGCAGATCTGCTCTGCAGATTAAACTCAGTAGAGCCTCTTATCTTCTCGGCAGATGCTCCTTTGTTTCTCTGTCCATTAGTCTAACAGCCTGACTCTTCTTCATCCCTCTCTATCCGTCCATCTCATCTCTTCTTGACACTTATCTGAGTTGTGGATCACAGAGGGACGACTGAGTTTGTTAAGCTGCCTCACAGAATTGAGGTAAACCATGTCAGTGTTTGTATTTTTCAGTAGCTCAAGGAAATCGTTTAATCCATTGTGGTGAGTATAATTTATAAAAATCCTACTGGATTTTGCACAGCACATGTAACTGACAAACATGACGCTTACTGCTCTCTAGCAACTTGACTTCTATGACCTCTGAACTTGTCTACACCCACTGTGCTCAGCGTTTAATTTATTCGGAACCTTATAATCCATTAATGGGCATTAATGACAAGGTAATTAAATGATTAGTCCATTTTGGGGCCAGTTAGGAAAATCCAGTGCTTTGTTCATTCATAGCCTATATCTAAAATATAGCAAAGTTAGTCTGTTATTTATCAGTTTTGAGTTAGGTTAAACAAATGTCTATTCTAATACGTTTGCTTAACTTAAGGAAGTGAAAGGAAGCCGTATCAGGACACCTTAACACATGTATTACAGTTTACTGTCATTACTTAACAGAGGCAAAAAAAATAGAAGCTGTAACGTTCACATAATTATCTAACAAGCTAATGACCCACTTTCTGTTTATTGCTTGTTAGTTTAACCCATGGCTAAGTGTGTTTCACAAGTGAGAGATAGGAGTTAGCAGCAATGTAGAAACTGAGTCATGTTGCTATGGATACATACACCTCCCAACCAATCAGAAATTAGTATTTTCCACGGCCATTAGTACTTGTACTAATATACCCGCAGGCCTAACACACGTACTGTAGGCCTACAATGTGCTGCCACTTCTGTGTTTTACTAGCATGCATGACTTTACTCAAAATGGAGTATTATTATTGTTATTGCTACTTACTTACATAAAGGATTTGAGTTCTTCTTCTACCTCTGTTAATCACTCACTAACTGCATTACCACTACATTGTGGTATACTGCATGACTGTATAAGAAAAGTATCATTGGCTAAATATTCTTCCCTTTGTCTGTCTTGTACCATTCCCCACTGTTCTCCCAGCATTAGTGCCCTCTGTAGAACAACTCTGCTTACTGTGGTACGGGCCGACAATTAACAATAGAGGGTAATAGTATACACACACATGCACACACGCACTAACACACTCATTGATGAAAGCAGAATGATGTCCTTTTGTTCTCTTTCCTTTTTACTCTGTCTTTTTACTCACTGCTTTGGACAAAAAGATACTTCTGTGTGCTGACTGACCAAACCCACTCATACAATCATGCATAAATCTCCCCCCACGCTGACTAATATGTTATGCTGGTATCAGTGTGTGTGAGTGTTTTATGTGTGTAAGAGATACAGAGCGAGAGTTTTTGTGCACCCACCAAAGCTGTCAATAAGGTCTTGTGACCTGATCGATATCAATACCAGAGACTGAGTCCATGACCTGCATTCAGCTGCTGCCTGCGTATGTGTGTATGCAGAGAAAACGTCAGTCAGGAGTCTACATACAGTGTATTGTGTCCAACATGCAGGGCTAACATGTGTCCTGCAGCAACTTTATAATGCATTTCTAATTTTGTCTCTCTGTCTTTTTACTCTGACAAACGTCAGCATCTCTACTGCCAAAGGTCAGTCACTGCTGACCGGCCTGTGACACAAAATTATAAGTTAATTTGGAAAAATAGAAAAGATGCAATTCTTAAAATTAATGAACCAACTAGAGTTTTCAAGAAGTTATTCCCCTGAGGTCACAATAAAAAACATAATTCATGAAAATTAAAAAAAGTTACATGTCTTATCATAAACTCCCAACAGCAGTTTTATTGATATTATTGCATAAAAAAAGAATATTTAGGAAAATAAAAAAATGGAGATGTTTGTTTTTGCAAATGAATCCTGTGCCAAAAAGACTGGTGTCAGTGAGACAAAGACTATAAAAAGTACACTCCCACAATTACGCAGGTCGACTTGTTTGCAGAGAAGATCAATACCATTTTCCTCTTTGTTGGTCCAGTGCACAGATAGGCTTGGGATGTATTTAGCCTAGCTTAGCACGAGGATGGAAGTAGAGAGAAACAGTTAGCCATCAAAAGTGGAACAACCTGGCTTCCAACAACTACAAAGGTGTCTTATTTAGTCCACAGGTTGTATTTTGTGTATTTTTAACCTCATTATAAAAATATAATTATAAACTAACAGTTATTCTTAAGTTTCCAGCTTCCACACTCCTTCCTTATTCAGAACGAAACCCAGATGAGCCCTAATGTAGTGGGGACAGTAATAATAATATAATTCAAAATGTGAGACTCTTTCTTTGAAGAAATACTTCATATGTTTTAGTTTATTGGCCCATTTGTCAAATATTTTTTAATCTAGATTAAAACAGAGATGCTGACTTTTAGCCCCCAGTTAGCTCACGTAAGCTTAACACTACTTTATGTTGAGTGATTGTAGGCAAACAAAACATTAGCCAACTTCTACTGGCCACTCTTATACTTATAGGCAAAGCAGTTATTTGTGGTTTTTATATGATCTTATATACAGTTCTGAAACAACCAGATAAACAACCTAATAAACCACATACTGGACAGGACACAGGAAATCATTGGTAGCAATTTATTGTCTAATTTTGTAGTTAAATCGTTAACTTCCCCAATCTCCCAAACAGATCTTATTCACATATAAAATATAATTTATTTTATCTAACTGTATCATGTTTTACCTACACTTTAAGTATGTGTTGGCAAAGAGATGCTAATTGCAGACCTGAACATATAGCCAGGTTTAGTGGTAAATTGTAGACACATTTTCACACAACTGACAGTAATGTTAGTACATTAAGTAACATTAAGTGTTTTATAGACCCCAAAACAAACCAGCTCTCCCTTTGGCTTCCTAAATATTTGACATTCTGCATCAGTCACTTGCTGATAGCTTATTGTTTTGGGGAGACAAAGCTTGTGTTAGCTCCTGTGCTTCCCGTGGTTTCCAAGGCTACATTCACACTGCAAGCCTTAGCGCTCAATTATGATTTATTGCTCAGATCAGATTTTTTTTGTTTGGCTGTTCATGTTATTTCTTAAATGCAGCCCCTATCATATACCAGTGTGAACAGGTCACAGTCATAAAATGACCCACATGATTAATGTCAATCGAGAGGACACTGAGGACACATTTTTAAAAACTTCTGATTTGAACCACATATGAAAGTGGCCCAAATCAGATTTAAAAAGATCATATTTAATGTGATTTGTCATAAAAAACAGATCTGAGTCACATATGAACCAAAGTAAATCTGATTTGGGACACTTGTGACTGCAGTGTGAGCTGAGATGTAGCCTAAGTGGGAGTATTGATTTAAAGTGGCACTGACATTGACCTTTTACATATTGATAAAATTTGAATATAAAAGCTATTACATAACCAATCTTAAATGTGTTAAATGTTAATGTATTTGGCATTGACTTACTGCTGTGCCACTTACTTAACCAAAAGGTCTGATAGCGATACTCATATTGGGGACTTTTTGGGATCTTTTCACTTTGAATAAAAGCTAAGAGGCTTTGTTGTGGGTAAACTCGGCCCTGGTAATTGACATGGATCTAGGCTAAAAGAGATACAGTAGGGACAAGCCTGGGATAGAGAAGCTTCAATCTACTCAACACAATAAAACTGTTTACCATGATAATACCACAAAACTCAGACAGGGATGGGCCTGCCCGAAAAGCCAGTGGGATTACACTTGTGACATTTCAATTG